TTACGGTGACTTACTGTACGAAACCAGCATCGTTTTTAGCTACTCGTACGTTAAAACAATTGGCAGAGGATGAGCGAGCGAACTACCCATTAGCTGTTAAAGCCGTTGACGAAGACGTTTACATGGACGATGTGATCTCCGGAGCGGATGATATGGAGTCTGCTATTGAATTACGATGTCAATTGGATGCTATGCTACTTAGCGGAGGCTTCAGGCTGAGCAAATGGGCGTCAAACTCTCCAAAGGTGTTAGAGGACATTCCCAAGCAGGATTTGACACTACCCACTACGCATGGAATCGATTGGGGCCAGGATGCAGAAGTCAAAACCTTGGGAATTACCTGGCTTTCTCATTCAGACCGCTTTAAATTCCAATTCAGCATTCCACCACTCGTAGAAGGCCAGCATTTCACAAGTAGGAAGGTACTCAGTATCGTAGCAAGATTGTTCGACCCTCTAGGACTACTGGGTGCAACTATCACGGCTGCAAAGGTGTTTATGTAACGTTTATGGACTCTGGTAAACGAACGTAATCAAAGATTAGGCTGGGACGATCAACTGCCTGAAACGGTGGGTGAGGAGTGGCGCAAATATCAAGAACAGCTACCGTCACTGAATACGTTACAGGTTGCACGGTGTGTCGTCGTACCCGGCGCAACCTCAGTTGAGTTTCACTGTTTCTCTGATGCGTCGATATTAGCATATGGTGCCACAGTCTACGTGCGAAGCGAAGAAAGGAATGGCACTGTTACCGTTCATCTACTAACATCAAAGTCGAATGTCGCTCCTCTAAAGGTACAGTCATTGCCACGCTTGGAGTAGTGTGGCGCACTCTTAGCAGCACAGCTTTGGGAGAAGGTATTGGGTGCCACGAACACGGAAGCTGAAGTCACTTCTAGACGGACTCGACATGCGTGCTGCAATGGATTAAATCATGGACTACTTTCGTGGCAAATAGGGTTTCCAAAATCCAAACTTTGACGGAAGGCTGTAACTGGAGTCACGTGTCGGAGAAGACTAACCCTGCAGATTTAATCTCTCGAGGCATTCTTCCAAACGAAATACTGAACAACGAATTCTGGTGGAGTGGGCCAAGCTGGTTGAAAAAACCAAAGGAACAATGGATATCGGACCCAACCGTACAACAATATCCCCTAGAAATGTGGAAGACAGCCGTTCCAAGTACGGCAGAGAAGACTTCTTTTGTTTCGGATTATGTTCTCAAGTTTTCGGATTATAACAAGCTTTTGCGATCTACAGCTGGCTACTGGCTACGACTGATTGCGACTCTACATAAGAGCGGAACATGGAATAGAGGTTTTCTGATGTTTTTAGAAGTGCAACAAGCGGAGGAACTGCTCGTACGACAAGTCCAACTGGAACACTTTTCCGTGGAGATTACGGCGTTGAAGGCTGGCAGCTCGGTAGCTCGAAACTCACCGTTGCGGTGGTTCCATCCACGGATCATGGACGACGGAATTCTCCGTGTTGGTGGAAGGTTCACCCATTCAGATGAATCTCACTCAGCGAAACACCCCATGGTTCTTCCAGCGAAACATCATCTAACTGAGCTGATTTTGCGTCATTATCATCTTAAATTGCTTCATGCTGAACCTCAACTTCTGATTGCTGCAGTAAGACTACGGTTATGGCCACTCGGTGGCAGAAATGTAGCCAGAAAAATAGTGCATCGTTGTTTACGTTGTTTTCGAGCAAAACCAACTCGCATTGAACAGCAAATGGGTGAAATTCCTCCCGCAAGAGTAACTGTTGCAAGGCCTTTTTCTAAAACTGGAATCCAAGGCTGTCCATCTAGAGCACGTTTCCGATCTCTCTACTGAATGTTTCTTGCAAGCATTACGGTGATTCTTTGCCCGGCGTGGTAGATGCACCGACATATACTCGGATAACGGCACTAATTTTGTAGGAGCTAAAAATAAACTAGCGGAATTATTGAATTTGCTGCGAGGTCAAGAACATCGTGAAACCGTTACTAACGAATGCTGTCGAGAAGGTGTACAATGGCATTTTATCCCACCAGGAGCGCCTCATTTCGGCGGTTTGTGGGAGGCTGCTGTGCGGTCGGCGAAATATCATTTGCTTCGTGTCCTTGGAGAAATTCCTATGTCTGCAGAAGATTTCCGCACGTTGCTGGCCCAGGTCGAAGAATGCCTAAATTCTCGGCCACTGACACCCATATCCGATGATCCAGTAGACCTCGAACCACTAACTCCAGCTCATTTTTTAACTGGCGGATCGCTGCAAACGTTACCGGATCCCGATCTTACTTCGACGAACTTGAATAGACTAGATCGTTGGCAGCTAGTACAACGTGAGCTGCAAGATTTCTGGAAGCGTTGGAGAACAGAATATTTGTCGCAGTTACAAAGCCGAACTAAAAATTGAAAATCTCCAGTGAAGATTGTGGAAGGGAGCTTATGTGTCATCGTTGACAGTTTACAACCACCAATGAAATGGAAAATGGGGCGAATTATCCAGGTTCACCCAGGAGCTGATGGTGTGATTAGGGTGGTTACACTGAAGACAACCAATGGAACAATGAAGTGAGCAGTCTTTCCTTTATTTTTAATGTCGGTCTCTGTTCCGCAATCTAGTGCCAATCACCGACGGACATCGATTGCCATCCATTGACGGCAACCGAATGTGCAGGAAGGCAGCTTCCACACCTGCGTAGGATATCGCACCCATTCACAACAACACACATGGGCCGGGACCAACGGCTTTAGTTCCCTTCTGAAGGAAGACGTGACCAGAGATTTTTATGCCTCAGAAAAATCCCACCAACCTCGGCTGGGATTAAACCCAGACCCATTGGGGTGTTAAAAAGCAGTCACGCTTACCACTACACCACCGGCGCCGGCTGGGATGTCATCGTCGAGGATATGACGAATGGTTCCATTTTCAGGCTGCAAATCACTTGCCAAATCATGGCTTTCTTCGCGAACTTGTCTGCAAACACGAACTTGAATCTTCCCGACACATCCCCACGTCCAGACGCGATGTAAAAGTTTTGACCGGGAAGCAGCTTAAAATCGAGTTTGACGTATGTTTCGTCATCGTCAAAACACGGTCGTACAAGAGCCTTGCACGCTTTTTGGCCACAGAATTCTGCTTCATGTGTCAGTTTGGATGTTTACTGGCTTTGTACAACTTGTATCCTTCACTGGCAAGGATGTTCCGCACCGTTTGAAAGTTGGCGTTGAACCATCTGGCCACATCTCGGATCGAAAGACGGGGGTTGGCTTTAACGCACCTCAACACCTTGCTGCGCAGCTGACGATCCCTGGTTCAGTTTTTTCGTAGGTCCGCTGATTCCTTTCCACACTCAGGATTTCCTTGTAGGTTTTGAGCACTCGATAAACTGTTATTTTAGGCATCTTCAGCACTTTAGCCAGCTTGGAACCGGACCACTCCGGATTTTCCAGGTCTTTCTTTCTTTAATTTAGCGTCGGTCTCTGTTCCGCAATCTAGTGCCAATCACCGACGGACATCGATTGCCATCCATTGACGGCAATCGAATGTGCAGGAAGGCAGCTTCCACTCCTGCGTAGAATATCGCACCCATTCAACACACATGGGCCGGGACCAACACGGCTTTACTTCCCTTCCGAAGGAAGACGTGACCAGAGATTTTTATGCCTCAGAAAAATCCCACCGACCTCGGCTGGGATTGAACCCAGACCCATTGGGGTGAGAAATCAGTCACGCTTACCACTACACCACCGGCGCCAACAGATTTTCCAGGTGTTTGTGCACAATATTTTTTTTTCTTTCGAGTTCCATTTGACGTTATTTCTGAACGTGATCGACTATTTGGATCAAACTTGCACCAGTTGTTCTCTATAGAAGTGTAAACAAACCACTGTCAAAGATTTTCGATTCGCAACACTAGCGAGCTAGCGGTGCGCTCTGGGCGTGCCAATTTACTTTTAGTCAGCCATTAAGGTGGGGACGGGGGTGGCTAACTCACTCTAGATTACCATGAGCCTTACGTATGTATCCATTAGGGTGCCTCGCTTTGGTAGCTCTTTTTGAATGTATCCAACTGCTCCTCCGTGCCACCACTGAAACAACCAGCCTTTAGCAGCAGAAAAACTTTTATCGCAATTTCTAGGGTCTCAATCTTAAAACCCACCGATGTTAGCAAATTTAATGCTTCGTCCCGTTTCTTCTCGTCCAGTTGGAATCACCTAACCGAGGGCCAGTTTGTCCGGTATATCAGCTTGTTCAGCTGGAGTGCTTCTGGATCGTCTTCGTTGGTTTGGATTCCACTGCTTGTTATGTTATTCCTTCAAAACAAAACATTTGAACTGTGAAACTAACCGGGTTGCCAAACATCGCATTTCCTCAAACAAACAAAGTCAATCCGTTGGCACGCTCGGCACAGCTGTGGTACGCGTGGGGCACACTAAGAAAGAAGTTGGCACACGATATGTGCGTATAGTGACCACCCCTTGGGGCTAATCTAATTTCTAGATAGAGCTGGAATTACGGCGTAACAGCTTTTGTAAACAATGACTTCTCTCGATGATTTCTATGGCTCTCCCTAGAAAATCGACATCACCATCGAGAAGAGGAAGACTTCTCCTACCCGATGGATGTGTTGGTTTGTGTGGCGTGCCTTTAATTCCGAGAAATCAACAAGAGAAATCATTGTTATTTACAAAGGCTGTTATGCCCTAATTCCAGCTCTATCTAGATTTCAATTATTCAACTCAATTCAAATCATGCCCCATCTTTCAGTTCGATTTCGATCTAGTCATCCAACTGTGCGTCAAAAACATTCTGAAAACAATGTCAATTACATCTGCTATTGGCATTCTGCTCCTCTTCAGCACCATCCCTTGTGTATCACCTAGAACTGATTCCAACCCCTCTCAAAATGTTTCAAACTCATCATCCAGCTCAGGTAATACACAATCCTTCTCCAACCCTGGAAACGATCAATCGTTTCAAGCTTCCCTTTTCCAACCTTAATAGCCGGAAGCTCCCAATGCCGCATCAAGCGAACCGCCCTGTGGGAACAGTGTCTGGAACCGTATCGGATCGTCGGTGGCCAGTCGGCACACATCACCGAAGCGCCCTACCAGGTCGCAATCCGTCGAATACAGTTCCCAACGCTGTCGGTGTGGCGCAGCAATATCATATGCGGTGGATCGCTCATCGGACCACGTCTGATCCTTACTGCGGCTCACTGCTTCTCATCGAGCCTGATAAATCCCAACTGGTACCGGGTGACCATGGGAAGCACATTCCGAACGAGATCCACTTCCGGTGCTCAGGTTCGCAGCGTCGAGCAAGTGATTGTGCATCCGAACTTCCGCCTGAATCCGGTGGTTAAGAACGATATCGCGCTGGTGGTGTTGGACGAGAAGGTGGAGGAGTCCATTTCCGTGAAGTTTGTAGAACTCACTTCGAAGTCTGTGGAGGATAATATGGTTTGCTTGATCACCGGATGGGGCAGACAGGACTTTTACAACGCCACCAAGCCCATCTGTATGATGAAGGCAACGATTCCGATTCTGAATTTGGACGAATGTCGCCGGAGGTCAACGTTGCCGATCGCTGATGGATTTTTCTGTGCTGGGTATTTCGACGGCGGAATCGATGCCTGCAGTGGAGACTCGGGTGGGCCACTCGTTTGCAACGGCGTGCAGTATGGCATTGTTAGCTTTGGACGTGGATGTGCCGAGAAGAATCACCCGGGAGTCTACACTGACGTGTATCAACATTTGGAATGGATCTCAAGGGAATCTGTCAATGGTGCCAGTACGGTAGGATGGTTCCTGTCTGGATTTCTTGTGATGACCTTCATTATCCTAATATGAACCGAAACCTTAAGGTGATACGAGCCAGAAGCCTGAACTTTGATGCCACTTTGCATTTTCCAGGGGACAGTTATTTGCTACCGGAAAACCAACAGTAACAAAGTAGCAAAGAAATAGCAATAGTATTCGAGATTGAGTCCCTAGAAAACTCGAAGTGGTACATGCAAGTGCCTATAATTTGAGGACGCTGGATCGTATCACCTTAACCGCTACATAATTTATAACATGAAAATTACCAATCTTACCCCACACCCAGCCCGCTTTCCGAAGCGCACGCTGAAATCCTTCCCGTGCGTCACATTTTATCTATTCATATCCTGCTTCGAAAATTGGATTAAAATTCCTTCTGGGAGTACTTTCCGTCTATTATACTTCTGCCGTTCCCACCCGACAGACCCAGAGTTGCTGCGGGAGCACACAACAGACCATGATATGGCTGCTTCCGTTCGGAAGATGATCCGAAAATCCTGGAGGCAACACAAAAGGGGCAGAAATTTATATGCCAAAGATCACGCGTCGATAATACCTCCCCCCCTCCCCTGTGTCGCCCCCTCCTCAAGGTATATGATTGGCTTTATGACCATAAGAGACAAGCTGCGTTGGCGAGATTGGATGCCGGAAGAAACATCCACCAACACCGATTCAGTGGTGGTACGGAGGAGGACACGTATCGGGTCGATTTTGGTTTTTCTCTTCCGCCTTTAGCTGTCGTCGGACTTGTCTGGTTCACGTTGGTTTTCTTTACTGGGAATATGCACACCCCAATGCTGCTGGGTTTTATCTGGTACTGAGTTCGTGATTTTCCCACGTGGAATGGCATTGAGGGAGGTGAATACAGATTGGGCAGTTTAATGGTAGCATGAGGTGTATGGAGAGAAAATGTTTGGTTTGTAAGTGACGTGAGAAAATTTAGCACATCGTTGCAACAATATTTGGTGAGACGTTGAAGTAGGACTGCATCGTTCGAAATCGTACTGCTAGCAGTACGCATCGAAAGTATTAGAGAGGAGCGGACTATAGTCGCCATATTCATAGTCTGGCGGATAGAATATCGATCTATCAAAATGCGGAACCAATTCAATATATTGTAGACCAACAATTGAAAAGGTACAATCAACTTTTATAAACAAAACGTTGATTATTCTTCCCTCGCCAATCGTACGCAAATTACCAGCATCATCGAATAAGGGAAACTTTCCCCAACCCAAAGATGGTGTTAGTTTGCGTAGGCGAGCCTTGAATCACGAGAAAACGGTTTCCGAAGTTTTGTTCGCAATAGCTGATGTGCTCTTTTCTGTTGTTGGTCTTGATTTGCTCGATTGGTTCCGCTATTTGACAGCTCAATTGGTTCCCGAGATTCTATCCGACAGACTATGAATATGGCGACTATAGAGCGGACTGGCTGATTTTGAGTCAAACGAACTGTCAAAGCCAGAGCCAATCGAGCAGCGCCTATCTTGATTGCATTGGCAGTGTTGCTAGAAATCACGTAGGTGACCAAGGCAGTTTGTTTTGAATCCTCTCCTCTCTTATACTAGACCCTCTCTAGTATAAGGTAATGATTCGACAGTGAGCATAACGGCGCCGGTGGTGTAGTGGTAAGCGTGATTACCTCTCACCCCAACAGGCCTGGGTTGAATCCCAGTCGGCGCCGCCGGGATGTTCTGAGACATAACATCTCTGATCACGCCTTCCTTCGGATGGGAAGTAAAGCCGTTAGTCCCCGGTTCATGAGTTGATGGGTCGATAGGTAGGGTCCAGTGTGGGAGCTGTCTTCCTAGCACGTCGGTAGCATTGGTGCTCAGCACGGAAAACAAGATCGACGGAAAAAACAAACCAAAGGAAAAAAAAAAAAAGACAGTGAGCATGCATAAGGGCGTAAACGCGATGATCGATTCTCTTCGTCTATTTTCTCATTTGTTAATAACTCGCTAGAATTACCGTTTCTCGGTGCGTTTGTTGTTGCTTTTGATAGCTAATATAACCTGTTACAACTCTGCATTGAACAAATTCTAGAAATGTTTTTCGCTTAGCTTTAGCAATGTAAACATAAAATCGATGAAGAGAATCGATCATCGCGTATACGCCCTTATGCATTCTCACTGTTAAATTGCGAATTTTTATGCTAAACGGGTGATAACTAAAAAATGAGAAAATTCATTTGGGCTCAAGAAAAATGTTTGAGGAATGAAAGAGTGATTAAATTATTTTTTTTTATTTCTACAAAACAAATTTAATAAACATTTGAATAAGGTCCGTTATCAGCTCTTTGACGTAGCTTAGCCATGATGTGAGCACCTGAGCGTTTTACAGCATTTAAATCGATTCTTGGCCCTCCAATTGTTTTTATACACCAGTTTACGTCTGTGTGATATTTTCAAAGAAATTGAATCAATATTTTCTTCAAACATTAATTTTAGTACATAGAAATTCCTCGCTCCAATATTGCGATATATGACACATCTTCTAAGCGACTTTAACATGGTCAGAACACATGGTAATCTAGTCACATAGAAATATTGAGTGAAAACCCAAAACATGATAACTTCAAAAAAATATAACTCGAAAACGAGTAAAAATTCAACACTGATTTTTTGATATGCTGTGTAAAAAATCCTAAATTTCCAAGGCAAAATATAAAATCATATTGCACCCTCTGTCTACAAACCTTAATTACCTTTCATTTGAAATCTTGATCTTTGCAACCCGTCCAGTGGTTGAAAGTTTTTAATTTTTTGAAAAAAAGTCATTTTTGAAAAAAAGATTTTTGGACCACCCTTAAATGGAAATGGTCACCCTAATGACAAAATAAAAACATGGGTCTAATATTTTGTGAAAAGAAACAAAACTACCAATTTTTACGAAATTTTGAGAACCACTATATCGTTTTGCTATGGAATGGCTGTATATATAGGGGAAATGGATGTAATGTCGGTCTAAATGCCCCTAATTTGGGCCCGTACATAAATTCAGCAATCGAATAAATTTTCAATGGCGACCAAAAATATCCATAAGTACCGTCTCAATGACGCATTCATCTAGATAAAATTGATAAATAGCAGATTTTTAGCGATGGGCCCAATCTTAGATCCATAGGCCAACATAAGAGCCATTTCCTCTATATATTTGTTATTTTACTAACATTTTCAATACTGATCCTACTTTAAATTAAGAATTTGACATATATTTTTTTTTGTTTCAAAAGTGGCTGTTCATAAACTACGTAGACCAAGGGGTAAGTCACTCAGCACATTGTGCCGAAATTAGGTTTGGCACAGCTTCGGCACATCCATTGGAATACCTCCGGCATACCTTCGGCACACCTTCGGCACAATCTCGTAAGCATTAGGCTGTTGTAAATTAAATGGGAGTACTGCTGGATAGCTGTCATCGAAGTTGTTCACAACATTACGTGTAATTTGACTGTATATTCAGGAACGTCCTCTAATTGAATATACCAGAGGAACTCAGACCAGCAGTTCACTTATAGATCTAAATACGAAATGTAGGTTCTAGAGTGGGGCCTCCCTTAGCTCAGTCGGTAAAGGCGCAGCTACAAAGCAAGACCATGCTGGAGGTGGCTGGGTTCAATTCCCGGTCCGGTCTAGGAATTTTTCGGGTTGGAAAATTTCTCGACTTCCCTGGGCATAGAAGTATGATTGGACTTGCCACACAATTATACCAATGCAAAAATGGTACAGGCATCGAAAGCTCTCAATTAATAACTGTGGAAGTGCATCTAGAACACTAAGTTGAGAGCACGCAATAAGCTAATATGCGATATGCAATAAGCTTGAAATGCGAAGAAGAAGAAGAAGAAGAAGGTTCTAGAGTGGGCTCAAAATAAAGAGGCAGTTCTTCAGCTTTTCGACCCTTAATTCAAACAATGATGCAACTCACACAAAACAAACTACAGAAGTCATATTCATCATCCTCTGTACAACGGCAAACCGACATGACATGAGTTTTCATACAAATTACCACGAAATTTCTGCTCAAAGCACACTACCGACATCTGTCTCCGTGTTCGCGGAAAACGTTGATCTAAGCCACGGGGCCTTATTACGGGTGTCACTACACGGTGATTAGGAAGTGATACTCAGAATAAGAGCCATGATTGCCGTAAAAATCAAATAGGAACCACTTCACCGTGACGACAAGTGACAAGTTTTCACCATGAAGTGACATCCGTAATAAGCCCCACGAACACCGGTGCAAAATGTTTGAGTTGGTTCGTGTCTGATCTATTTTGGACAAGTTATTTTTATCTAGATGAAAAGTTTCTATGGTTTTGACAGATGGGATCGCTGCACATTTGAATCGACCGTTATAGATTTTCAAGCGAAAGTTAAGTTTAAGTTTCATGTCGGTTTGTCGGTGCTCTATAGTCGGGGTCCAACAATGTTCCCCACCGGTTCCATCTCTTTCCGACGGCTGATAGACCGTTGTTTTGACGTAAGACTACGTCTGTGATTTCTATATGGGGGTACACTTTGCGAAAATTGAAAATGAAACATGTAACAAAATTATGAAAGATTTTGAACGTTAATAACTCAGCTGCCCCTGGACCAATTTCAATAATTTAATCACCAATCGATCAGAAATATTTCTACGCATCTGAATAAATTCAATACTTTATCATTTATCAAAGTGTCACTGTTGAAAATTGCACGAATGTGCGACTTTTGCTATGATAGTTAAAATTGTTACTGATTGCCTGCGAAAAGCGATTCCCCACACACAGATTTCAAAGTTGAATTCCATCCGGTCTCACCAAACGGTGTTTATTCAATCACCGCGTGGTGAGTGGTGGTGTTCTCCAAGACACAACGAAGCAAGCTGCAGCCCACATGAGCATCCATAGAAGGTAGAAGAAGCCGCACCGCTATTGATCAGAATCAGTAGCTCTTCGTGAGTACTGTGGGCTATCTATGTCAAGCGCGTCA